AGAAACAGGAAATAGAATTTGTGATTAAGTGATTATTTACTTTAGTGACGAGTACTTTTTACTTAGCATCATCAAATAAACAATAGCAATTAAATGCTTCAAGACCATGAGCTAAATTAGCACTAATTAGCCCACATTATGCGTATTTGAAGTTTTATAATATCTTTTTTGCTGATAAGTACATATAAATGATCTCAACAATTTGTCGTTATCACAATCAAAGAGTGTTTTTACTGATAACCGAAACGCCAACTTCGGGGCCAAGAATACAGGCACATGCACATATTTACGTACATAAATATATCCGTGCCAGTTGGCAATAACCGGAAATAAACAGTTCCGCCAACGTACAGGTATCCGACTCTCGTGAGAAGGTGCGCTCGACCTGATCGTGCTCCGAAAGGCATAGCAACGAGTGAACACAACATTTCTAATACTTGTAGCTCTTGGGTAGAGACCTGTTTCGGGCAATTTTATATTTTCCATGATTCCTCTTCTTATTTGGCCAATTACATTTCTTCTTCCGCCAATTACATTTCTTCTTTGCGAGATTTGCCAGTTCTAAATCCCGAGTGCAGGCAGTTTCTTCTGCACTTAGTTTTCATTTGTTCGTGGGTTGCCGTACATGCGTGCCGAATCGAAGAATCTTTTGATTGAAGCCTCTTCATCTAAATATGCACAACATAAGTTCTGAACACATTGGAAACGACGAGCTACCGACCACAGCTTCCAATTTGTCATCTTTATTATCTAAGCGCTTTGTCGATGGCAACATGATTTCTTTGAACGCGGCAGCGACATCATGAATTTGTATGAGTTTGACATAAAAGAAGAGGAAGAACCTTATCTGTCCCCAGAAAAATAGAAATAGATCTAATCTGGCCACAACCACAGCCGTCGCGTAGCCCGGTCGTCGCCAAAATAATTATCTACATAAGAGTACGTTTAAAATAATTTGACAGCTATGGTTTGTAGCTCGTCGTTTTCATTGTGTTCGGGCTAATACTCAGGCCAGCGAAATCGTTATATTTTTATGCCCTTAACTATATCCATGCAGTTACAAAGCTCGTATAGTCGCCATTCCGATTTTGCGTAGAACAATGATCTAAAAAGCACCCAACGCCTTATCATCTTTCCACATCATCTTTCAGGTTTCCGCGCGATCTATAAGGTCGGGTATATGGACAAATTTTTAAAGCGTGGTTTTGTTCGTCACTCTGCTCAGACTTATTTATTCAAAATTGTTATATACAATCGCTCTTTAGCAAAAAAGTGGGTTTTCAAGAAGTTTTATGAAAATGGGAGTGGCACCGCCCACTTATATGATAACTGCATATCTCAAAACTACTTAACCCCTCTCGACCAAATGTGGTATACACATTTTGCTTAGGCTCTATAAGCACCATATTGAATATTTTTTAAATCGGACAAAACCAACTCCCCCTAGAATATAGCTAGCTTTGAGTTTTTGAAATTACCGTTACGTTAGTGAAGCCGTGGTTTTTATCCGATTTCAAAAATCAGCATGGTGCATGAGGAGCCGAAACACAATGTGTATACCTAATTTGGTCGAGATTGGCCAGGTAGTTTTCGAGATACGCATATATATCATAAACATATGTAAGTGGGCGGTGCCACCCTCATTGTCCTAAAACTTCTTGAAAACGCACTTTTTTTACGAAAGACGATTGCATATATAAATTTTGAATAAATATTGATGAATTCCTTAGCCAAACTACTAAAAATTCTAAAAGTCCGGTACATACACACATATGTATAAATTCAAGGCCTTACTTTTTATTTGCCCTATGAAAACTTACACCAACAACTCTTTAAAATTTAATGAAAAATAGTCAATCAAAAACTGATAAATCTACAAAATCGTACCTCTAAATGATTTTTAAGAAATCAATAACAATAGGCAATAATATTTCTCATAAAATGGAAGGAAATTAGGGTGTAGTGTCTTGAAATTTGAAAAAAAAAACTTCGTTGGGCACCCTAATGGACTTTCACGTGTATGTACATAAATGTGGACGTAATATTGTTTATTTTATGTAGATCCTAATGTCGCTAATCAAGTTAATCCCACATTTACGATTTTTCTTTTTTATCAATCGATCAGATTCAGTCAACATGTGCCACAAGCAGAGCAGCAACAACATCAACAACATCAGTCACAACCCAACACATTGGGACGTTGTATACTCAGTGATAAAGATAAAATGATACAACCCGATGCATTCCGGGCTGCACCCTATGACGAAGAATACATGGAAAATCAATGTTACGAGCGACCGATCGAGAACGATAGCTGTTCATACGAATTGTATGCGAACAGTAGCTTCATTTATGCGGAAGCAAAATATTTGGGTCTAACCCAAAAGGAGGTGTGTCTGTCTGTCTATGTTGTTTGTGGTATTGATGGTAGTATGTTGAAGACAAAAACATGGGATTTAGATTGTATAAAAAATAAAAATAGTGAACTTTTTACAATAATCCGACTGGCATGCAATCAACTCGAAGCTTCGATTGAAAGTACATACATAAAAAATTTTAATTAATTATTTTTGTAAACGAATGTATAAATTTTTATTAGTTAGTATTAGTTAATGTGTGTGTGTGAGTGTTTGTAGTTATGGCTAATAATTTATTTTACAAAACGCAATTTATAATTTAATTTTACACTGTATAATTTAAAATTTTCTTTGAAGTGTCAATCATTGTGCTCACATGAAACGAAATTCTATTGCCAAGGCGTGTCATTCCATTTCGAGCGCGATCTGACCAACTCGGAATGTCTACTGCACTCAGAGGATATTATATCGATGGGACCTCGCAGTCTGAAACTAAGAGAGAAGTCTGTCTATATGCGGCGTGTCAAGTGTTTAGATGGTAACTTATGCTTATAAACTCCTAAAATAAAATTTTAAAAAAATTCTTTCCGTTTTTCCCCACACAGTACAGGTGCTGTGCACGCAAGACGAAATGGCCATCAAATATACGCCAAAAGATTGGTTTTATGGTAAAATGTATGCCAGCATGCATTCAAAGCAGTGTATGGTGCAAGGCAACGGCACAAGTAGCACAGTGTTACGTCTGCCGATCGGCACCGAGGTCAAAGAGAATCGTTGCGGCATTTTGCGTGCCTACGAAGTCACCAAAGCATATCAAAGGTAAGCGTACGTAGGCACTTTTAGCAATCATCGAAGCAAAGTAATAATTTGGTTATTTTCCAATTATTGATTACTCAAACCCGTATGTACATACGTATTTATTAGCATACATATTTACTTTGAATTACAGAATTTTCATATCCGCGTTGATAGTAATACAAAATAATCGAAATGTGCAAACACAGGGTGATCGTCTCATCAAAGTCGGTTGCATAATGAGCAATTCGACGATGCGCAAGGATGGGCACACTGATGGACGCAATGATGATGATGGTGTGGAGGGTGAAGATATACCGAATGCTATTGCATTGGAGTCTTCATTAGAGTTCGCACAGCAGTAAGTCGCATCAAATATTTGGCTTTAAACAAAAGATTTTGTGTTTAAAAAAATTAACTTAATACTAGTTTTTTATTAAACCCCCTTCTGACAATTAAAAAAAAATACGCATATATTTTTGTTAAAATCCAGAAAAAAAATTACACTTGGTACGCAACAAAAGTTCATCTCTTTTATGATGAATTTCCACTTGACATTTAATGACCACATTTTTAATGACAATGTTGGGCATTCAAAATAGGAAAGCTAGTCACTATATCTGTTTCCACATTGCATTTTTTAATACATACATTTTCTATCATTATAATGCCTAGTGGAAATTCGACATTAGTCTTCCTATATTATTATTATTATTACTACTTATTATGGCATATAACGCTGAGACCTAACTAGATATAAGTTCTGTTCGCTATGCAAAAGCCAGTAAGAATTAGCCAATAACCGAATTCAGAGACTCTTACTCTCCCAAAGAGAGAAACTTACAACAGGAATTAGCAAACATTTGCAAGCTTCACTGCCAAGGTGTATTAAACAAGGTGGTGTTGGGGCGACAGCTAAGTTTTTCGCCATGGAGGCCATTACGTCAAAATGATGTGTTGTTGTAACTCATACCAATGACAGATGCATATAGGCTTTACGTGATTACCTGCCAAAAGCTTTAATCACGGTACCCGCATTTGGCACAACGGATAAATTTTTGCCTTAATCATTGCCCTGAAATGCAAGCATTTCAGTTCCAAAGGCAGTGTGGGAGGACACACTAACCACCTTGGTGAGGCCAAAACCTACCTAAAGTCTCTGCCGTTCTTTGGGTCCCGGCACCCGGTTGCAATGCAACTCCACATCGAACCCTTTTTGAGTTCCACCGCCTTTGGTATTAAACCACAGCCCCCGCGATACTCCCCGAAGGGCCATACCTCAGTGAACAGACTGGAGTAGTGCTCACCAGCCAGACTTGCTTGACCAGCTCGAGTCACGCAACCTACTAAACATACCAGAATACACATGCTCAATCGTACAACTAAGAAGGTCTGCTTTTATCACATATTCACCAATCCACGGTTTACCTCAAATATTTACACCGTGTTATCAACCCTTTCTCCACATTTTCCACAGTTCAACAGTTTTCAGCATTATCATCCAGCTCGTCTCGCTCCTCTCACAAGACTTACTAATCTAATTTCACCCCGGTGTCCCTATCCGGAGTGAAAATCAACTTTTAACCCTTGTTCAAGTCACTTGACTCACCTGATTCATTCTGCTCGTCTCGCTACCCTCGCAGGTCCTACTAGCCTTACTGGGAAACAAATTCCAGCCCGGGTGTACAATAGGCATGGAATTTCTCCTTTTCAGGTTTTCTACACCTACTCAAGCAGCTTGACGAGCCACATTCTTCCTTGCAGAACTTCCCAGCTATATGATTTTACATGTGCATCTGGCCTGTCTTTCGACCTTGCTCGTCTCACTGGCTTTGCTTATCTAGCCAGCGAACACACTCCAGGGCATCTGTTCGCCCGCGGTTCCTCTTTTAAAGTCTTAGGTATGACTTCCGAAAGTCGTAGACTCTTCTACCAATTGAGCCTCTGACCGATTCAGGATTGGTAGCCTTTGACTAGGGTACCCGGGATTATGACACCCGTAGCCCCGCAATGCGGAACCCCCCTGGGCTCGTTGGTACGGTAATCTCCACATCGGAAACTGCGTAAGCACATGTCCTACACAGGTTCCCATGCGGAGCATNAGTTCATGCCGACATGGAAACCTCTAAGGGCCCCCATGTCACCACTTAAGATTTAGCCCCACGACAAGGACACCAACGTTTCGCTAGATCATACCAATGACAGTATGGACATCAGCGTATAATTTGTTAGTGTAATTTTTTACTAATATACGGCCAACACCACCTTGTTAAATACGCCTTGTTCATTGCCAGCTGGCGTCCACGGTTGCATTTCGAACATAAAAAAATTGTTTTCATTATTTCAGTCGGAAAACAAAACAGGGCCTATACGTATATCCCTTCTTATTCTGACTTTCTTCAACATAAGCTTCAATTTCTTTGTGTAAGTCACTGTCGGATTTCCTATATCGACTGTGGTGTCGATTGTGTTACGATTACGAATACAACTGTTTCAGACGAGTACCTTTCAAATGTTTGGAATTAATTAAGTTAATTGAGTAAACAAATATTTACATCTTTCTCTCATTAGTAAATCGCAAAAAAAATTGTTCGTTTTTTAAATAGAACGAACTTGTTGATTCAAATTATTGTTGAAAAAAATGCAACCGTGTGCCACAATCCTGCTTGCAAATTCTTGTTGTCAATAATTTCCCCAGCACGAACTTCCCCTCCAAATGAAATGTCAAAATTGTGCTCTCTCCTTGCAAGTTTTACTAGTTTTTTGGCCAAACGAATTTGGTAACAATTATTACCAACTTGTACAAGTTTTTGACGTAGAATACATCTTACGTTTCGATATGGAGGCTATGCTCAAATGTTGTGGTTGTAATTTTTAGAAGCGATTTCAAAGAAAGGTGTGGCGTTTCCAAGACAAAGTTCCAAACCTATCGACAGATACATTTCTATAAGTAACCAATTCGATGTTTGTCGTAGAAACTACGGTAAATATTGGCTTATTTTGGGGTCAATTTTGAGACTTTAAAGTGCTCTAGTAGCTAATGATTTGTAGATATAACTTTTATTTTCGGGATATATGTAGGTTCTTTGGAGCAGTACAAATATTATCGTGTACAAATTTTATATATAAGTACAACCAATAATGATCATTTTTAAGGCAAAAGATTTTTGAAAAAATTTTCAATTTTTTTTATTACCAAAATGCTCGGAAACCGCTCGAATGATTTTGTTTTTGTTTTATTTACTCAACAATTCAGGTGTTTTCCTTTCGTTTGGTATATGGGAAGTATTGGTTGATTTCTTCCAAGTATGTTTATTTTATTCAAAGGTATGGGCGTTATAAATCAATCTTTGAAAAATGTAAAAAAAAACAGAATCAAAAATCTCATTCTCACGATTTCGTTGAAACGATTTTTAAATATTTTTATGCAGATTTTTAAGCTTAATCTGTTTTGTCATCTGATGGGACTTTTTTCAAAAAGTTCTTTANTTCAAAGGTATGGGCATTATAAATCCATCTTTGAAAAATGTAAAAAAAAAAACAGAATCAAAAATCTCATTATCACGATTCCGTTGAAACGATTTTTAAATATTTTTATGCAGATTTTTAAGCTTAATCTGTTTTGTCATCTGATGGGACTTTTTTCAAAAAGTTCTTTAAGAAACTTTTTTTATTCATAAAAACTCCATTTTTGGAGGTATTTTCAAATCGGTCCAGCTTTCGTAAATCTTAATATTTTTCCGAAATATTTTGGAAGACGTCTTAAAATATAATAGGTAGATAAAAAAAATGTATAATAGATTTTATAATTCAACTTTTTTTCTTCAACTTTTAACTTAGTGTGATCTTAGTAATATCACGTAATCTACGTTTAAGTCTCCGACACAGCCTGCAGGTCAAGATGAAGGTGCTGGACTGATCTTTTTTGCATAGCGAACACTATTATAGTGTGCTAACCCATAATTAGTTACCCCAGCCACTCCAACCTGAGGTTATTGATGAAATTTAGCACTTTGAAGGGTGTCCCGAGTATCTAGATTCTGGATGAAGACGATAATTGTTCTCCATGGTATAAGTTGAGTAATACGCGGGCGATCACATCCCTGTAGTCAAATGAACCGCATGCCCAACTAGTCAGCCAACTATCTTTTTCCATGCAATCAACTGGTATTTTTAACTACGAGATGGCAATTGTCGGATTTCGGTCTGCAATATACCAGTCTCATACTAGTTCAAAATAGACAGAAAAATACTAATCCAATTAAGGACCGAAACCACTATATGTGAGTTAAAAAGTAAAATGAATTTATGAATATACAATAAAAAACTTTTGATTAAATACACTTTATATATTTCACATTTTCATTTAG